TTTTTTTTCTAAATTAAAACCAGTTTTTAATCCCATTTTCTCTTTCTCAAATCTTTATCTTTAAGATAGGTGTTGTTAGTACAATTATTCTTTAATGTAAATGCTCTTGAAACAGGCAAATTCCTGAAAGAATTGACTTGATCAGATGAGGTTTGGAAATTGTAAACGGAAATTTTGTACTGTGTTGCATGCGATTTCTAACTTGCATTAATTTATAAAATGGTTTGATTCAGCGCCTGAAATAAACTAAGGGGTTGTCTTACTCAGCGAAACGTGATAAATCAGTTTTTCGCATCTGATCAATTTCAAGTATATTTTGATGCTGCAACCTTAAAGCCGCGATATGGACAATCTCTGTAGATTAGGCTAAGTTAAAGTTCTACCCCTCTAATAATCACTTAGAATATATCATTATCATAATATTTTATAAGCATAGACTGTTATTTATTGAAAAGCTTTGCTTCCCATCAACGCGAGAGTTTGTCAACATCAATATTATCATTGATTGACTAGTCCTTTTTCTGTCACAGCCTTGGCAATACAAAATTGAATAGAGGTAGAGGCGAATAATTGCATCATTTGTATCATATTTGCTCGCTATGAGGCCCTTCTCTGCAGCTCATTGAAAATGGTCTAGGCTCTTCTTCGTGCCCATGAAGCTCGCGATCGTGCTATCATGGTAGCCAATCTGGATCGAGTTACATTTTGGAGTTGTGCACACACTCTCGTTCTTCTAGGTGTTGGCGCTTTACAGGTCTGTCTAATCTGATTGGAGGTAAAACCGTAGAAATAACTTCTCTAGAAATATCTATTTTAGGTTTTTATGATCCGAAGTATGTTTGAGGACAACTCTAAGCTAGGACGTCTTTTGAGAAGCGGAAAACCCGGGTACTGACTTGTAGTAAATTGAGGGTATGAAGGGAAATGTTTGATCTAAATTTAATCTCAAAATTCTTACTTACATAAATTTGACATAATACGATAATTTATTGAAATTCTCCTGTTCGCGTTTTCTGTGCAATGAAGATGCATAATCGCAGTTGATTATTTATTTGCTTCAATTGTTATGATTGTTTCTGTGCCTTCTGAAAGATAAAGATTTAAATATTTCACAATTCATTTTCAGGTTGTGTTATTCACCCTTATCGTAGCCTTTGGCAGATCGATCTGCTCTACTAATAATTCAGCTTCTTTCCCCCAGCATTTCCCAATGCGAACGACTATCCAACTCCTTTCATGTTTTATTGTCTTTTCATCGATTTCGGCTCTGATCTCTGAAGAAGAAATTGCCCTGAATGTTCAAGTGGAATCAGGCAAGGTGACTTGGCACTTTTTGCTAATCTTGTCGTTCAGTACAGGGTTCAACTTATTCCCAACTTTGTTTACTTGCTATCACTTATTTGAAACATAAGAAAAAATATTAAGAAAGGGAAAACACTTTGGTGAAAGATGACGTTGACTCATACACCGGAGACATTGCTGCATGCAACAATTTTCGAGCGCTCGCGTTCAGAATATCGAAGAGTAGAGAAAATATCCGATTCGTGTTCATTTCTTAATCATGCTGCCGCACCCTAATCATCAGTCTAGAAACGAAACTGAATGAGTGCGTCCTTTCTGGAGATACGCTTTACTCAACTACTTCATCCCAAAAGATTTCTGACATAGAGGACCTTAGGTATTGATTTATGTACAGCACGATTCAAAAAAATCTATCACGCATCATTTGTCATTGCATATTTGATTTGTATTTAAATCAAGGAAGAGATGCGGAAATTTGATCTCTTCGACAACCGACTGTTAGCAATTAGCTATCCTTCATGAAGAAGTAGCCTGGTGTAGAGGGTAGAGGCGCTGTGTCAACAACTGTATCATCATTTCCGTAGACGAAGCCCATCTCTATAATATTGATGAGCGCTACCAGAACTCCCTAGTGGAATAGAAGTATCGATTTAGACTGGTCTGATTGTGCAAACCACTGCACTAGGCCAACAGCTGCAAGTACCTTGACAAACTTAAAGAGAACGAAGATGTGTATTGGCGCGAGTAAGGATAAGGATGAAAGAACTTGATCATTTTTTTT